AAAAAAAAAAATCTTCAACTTTAAAAAAATTTAAAAGTATCAACCTTTAAATTAAGTTTTAAAAAAGAGAAACTTCTCTTTTTCTAGATGAAATGAAATTTGGATTTGACCATCGCCAATCACTATACTATTGGTGAGAATTAATTAAGTCACCCATGGGTTGAAAATTGTTATTCTTGATTTTAATGAATCAAAAATCAAATGTGAATGAGAAGATTTATTCGACTTATTTTTAGTAATGTTAAATTAATTTTCATAAATCCTCAAAAATTGTGTTTGGATATACTTTCTTTTATATTGAAAACTTATTTAATTGTAAGATTATCTATTTAATATATTTCATTTTATGGTAAATAACAAAAATAGAAACTATAATTCGGATTAAAGTTTCAACCCTCAACACTAGGTCCAGAACCCTTAATAATTATGTTTTTGGCAGATTTGCAAGGGATTCTTCATATTTCAACCCTCAAAAATTAGGGTGTAGGACCATGAGACTTACTCTTTAATGAAGAACAAAGCAAAGTTCCAACCTTTGGAGGTATATTCCTCTCGTGCTGAGTCATTGAATCATTTACTATACTTGGAATATATTCATTCCAAATGAGCTCCAACGGTCATAAATCATTGATCGAGCAATTTCAAAATATGAAATTAGATTTGGAAAGAATGGAGAAAGAAAGAGAGATTGAGTTTTCATCTATGTTCTTTGAGAAATCAAATATTTTCTATACTTGTTTTTATTTTTTACATTACAATAAGTGAGAGAGGGACCATCCTCGAGGTATAAAAAGGGTTGACAAATTTGTAATAAAGGAATTAAATAGTTGATAGCACCAATGAGTTATTGTAATCAATTTCATTAGCAGCAATTGAAACTAATATTAGTAGATTGAATCTTAAGCGTACAAAACTTAAGGATTAGATATAAGCACTAAAGAAGGTGACAAACCAAGATAAATTAAAATGTTTGGTAATTTTAACACTATTCTTTTAATTAATGCATTTTACTTTTCAATAGCTTGTTGATTGCTTATGCTTGATTATTGTTTTTGTTTTGAAAATTGCATAGAATTTTGGAAACCTAATTCACTCCCTTCTTGGGTTTGTTCAAGTAATGCCAAGGCAACTCAAGGTTGTCTGAAATAACTTAGCTTGTCTGAGGTACGTGATCCCAGACTTCTATCATGACCATCATTACAAAAATGATGTAAATTAAATTAATCTTTTTACACAATCAATTTGTAATATTACATTCTAAACTAGCTATAAACAAATCATGGTCAACACATGTCTGTCTTTTATTATGCAGAGCTTCACACTTTTCTCAACTACATTACCTTGTGTTTGTCTTGATAAATAGAGAAACAAGATAGCTAAATTTTTTTTTTAAAAAAAAAAAGTAGATGAAGAAAGAAAGAAAGAAGAAAAGCAACGGTAACAAAAAAAATTCTTTGGTAAATAAAACACTTACCACACGTCTTCTTTCATATTGTATTGCAATTTTTGGTACTTGAACAACCCGGCCATTAAAGTAACAGTA